TTCATAAAAGATTTTACAAAAATATTTCAAGAACATTTTTAAAATATTTTACTGAAAGAGTAATTAAAATGTTTAAAACTATTTGTATGAAACGTAGCAGAAAACATGCAAAAAGATTTCATAAAATATTTCAAGAAAGTTTTTAAGAATATTATTAAAAATATTTCATTAAATGTTGCAGAAAGGTTGTTAAAATTTTTCTAGTATTCATTTTTTCAAAACGTTTTATAAATCTTGTAGCAACCTTTCAAATAATATTTTTTGAAACATTTTGAAAAACTTTCTTGAAATCTTTTGCGATATGTTCTGGAAACATTTCCGAAATATTTCAAAAAAATAGTATTTTTCGCGAAACCTTGATAAAAAAATATTTCTATAAAACCTTGCAGAATAATTTTGCAAAGATTTCACACAATATTTCAAAAAAGTTTGTAAAAATATTATGAAAAATATGTCAAAAACATTTCAAACATAGTTATAGAAACCTTTAAGGCCGGCGATACATGTAAATGCCTAAATTTTGACCGTTGTTCAGAGGCTTATTTAAAATGAAAGGAATAAATGAATCGTTTTGAAACTCAGCATGTTTATTCATTACATATAAAATTATAAGAATCCGATTTTTTTTAAATTTTTTTTTCAAAATGGCCGCTGTAGTAACCAATCTTCTGAGGCCCTCGCGGCGAAAGGCATCAATCAGCGTGATTTTTAGCTTCAGTTACAGCAATTTGGAATTAAAAAAAGGGTTGGAGCGTTTTCATAAAACATGTATCTTTTAGTCCGATTTTTGACCCTTTCTTCCGACGGTTTTTGGGTCAACAATGGCAATTTTGGAAAATTTTTGTAGCATTCTTAAAATTCAACTAGAAGCTAATACTATAAAGAAAATGTGTGCTAAAGTTCATAAAAATCGGTTGAGAACTTTTTGAGTTATTTTGCACGTCAGTTTGAAAAAAGTCATTTTGAGAAAAACGCGTTTAAAGTTTAGCGTTCGCGTCTAGCGCCGAGTTAAGGCGGAGCACTTAAATGAATTTTTAATCGATAAATAATGGAAATTTCATTCTAAAAATTTAATATATATTATATTAATGAGATATTAAACTAACTATTTATGAAAAAAAAAATTAGATTGTTTTTTATTTTACTTGTATCGCCGGCCTTAACAAAACATGACGATAAGGTTTCAGAAAATCTTCCAAAAACCTTCTGTAGGACGAGCGCCTCCATGCCAAACTTATGAGGCATTCGTAAGAAGTATTTATCGGTAGCCCTGGATAGCTCAATTGGTTAAAGAGCAGTCGCGCCTGGAAAGCGAAAGATTTGTGTTTCGAATCCCGCCGGTCCCCCAGGTCAGTCAGCGGTCCAATTATTTCACGAATCCCCACACAGGGGGCTCAGCCGGGATGGAGGGTCTGTTTCGTAATATGTTCCACAGTCTTACAACGCCACACAAAAAAAAATTCGGGCATTCGTGAAAAGGGATTGGTCGGTGAGCCCTGGCTGGGGAAGCTCTCAATTGTCTTTTTTGAAAAAATTTTAAAAATGTTTTCTAGAAACCTTTCGCAAAATATGGTAATAAGATTTTTAAAAATCTTTCAAAAACCTTTTTAAAAATCCTTTGCAAGTTTCTAAACGCTGACTTTTCCACCTTGTAGAAATATTTTTTAGAAATCTCTTTGAAAGACTTAAAGCTTTCCAAGAAATGTTTTAGGACATTTTTAGAAAGTTTTTATGTTATGTGGGAATCACTACAAGATAATTATTTACACTCGATAAAAGAAATCGGTTAGAATAATATATTTAAAGTATAAAAACATTAGGGACAATTTCACAGGGAGTAGATAACGATTAAACGTGTTCCTTCAAATTCCAAGCGAATTACTAATTATACCTCGGAAGATCTAGAAGGAAATAGAGCGAGAGACGCTTTTACGAGACAATGAAGCAGCAGTTTATAGGTGTGGTATCAGCCTGTTGAGATACCAAGCATATCTTTCATTGCGTCGAGTTGGTAGAGAGGGGTAAGAAGGTAGTGGTAGTCGAAAGTCGTTGACAGTACGATGGCTGGAAGAAATCCGGAATAAGCGACTACGGAGAGAAGGGTAAAGAGTAAGAGGGATGTGAGAGAAGGGAGAGAAGAGAAGAGAAAGATCGTAGATGGTAGGAGTAGCATCTGGAGCTAAGGGAAGGAAGGAAAGAGGATTGAGGCTCATTCGCTGAGTAATTAGCAAGGAGGAGCCGGTAGAACGGTTTATTAGCGCGGAAAGCACCGAACGTTGCTCGTGTAAATATTCTTACGCTATGCCGTGACGCCGGTAACTTCTCCGCTAAATATCTAACCTCCAGTCGCTTAATAACGGATGTGTACGGTGTTACCAACGTACCTATAGTACTCTTAATGATGCCAGATAAGGATAGTATTTTTCTCGAAAACACGCTAGACAATTTCTTCTACGTTTCAACATACCATTAGCATTGTTTTGATCCAGTTAAGAACAATTTTATCTTCATTCAATAAGATATTAATCGGTTTAAGAATTATCGCATTAAGTCTTTCCTCTTCGATGTAATATGAAGGAACAAAATAGGGTGTTGGTATTGGTGTACAGTGAAAAGTAAATTGAAATCGAAATTCTTTTTCTATCAATGATGATACAATAAATATGTAACTATAAAATATGTTTAATTTCTTGAATAGCAATTATTAAACGCGTGTTTCTATTGTAGCAACCTATCGCATTTAATGAATCGTTTTACTAGCAAAATTAGCGGATTATCGAATTATCATCGATACACTCATTGAATGTTCAATGATAGCCAAAGAGTATTTCCGTGTTCACAGCATCACGCGATGTTCGATTGATACTTGCTACGATTAAATACAATTACTTCATTAACCAAGTGTGAAATGAAGCACGTGATAACTCTCTTGAGTCATAGAACTGTTAGCTGCTACTCGTACTACTCTACTATCATTTTATTTGACGTGTCAAAGGTAGGAAATAAAATACATTGAAGAGGATAAGTTTCTTTTTTCGGTATTTCTCTGACGCCCACTTAAATACGCACATATATTAAGCTCATGAGGAGAGTGTGAATCAATGATGGGGAAGAAAGAATGGCACGAAACATGCACGCGAACGTCCGACTATATTTTCCCCTGTAGCGATCACCAAGTAGCAAACGAGTTTCCTTGCGCTACTTGCTTTTATAACGGACACTAGTTAAGCTAATGGTTTGCTCTATTCGAACGTGAACTGAAAAACGTGTTACCTCATGCGACCGAATTCAAGCTTGCCGACTACGGTAAATTGTTTTCAGCTAATTACATTAATGCTCGAGGCATTCATTGCATAATTCACGATCTGTTTTGCGTGGTAAATCGTAGTTCAGTATGAAAAAAAAGTAGGATTCTAGGATAAACGTAAAGATTAGACACTATTAACCGCAAATTCCTGTTTTTTTTTGTTTCGCGTAAAATGCGATTAGTCATCTACTGATAATGTACGATCCGAAAGGATCGTACGGTAATTAGCAGTATTCAAAATTCGCGCGCATCCGCCTCCATCGATTAAAGGTCTAGATCGATACTCATTGCGAGCATCGATCAACTACTAGTAACTACCGAAGCGCCCCTCTAGTCACCCCCACCTCTC